GATAATTTATTCTGGCAGTTCTATTAAGGAAAATATCAGCAGGTTTTCGCTTCGTAACTGAATGTATGGTGTTGTTATACCTATCCACGGTTATAGCGACGCGTTCCTCAGGGGTCAGCCTAGGGAGCTCTTTACAAAGACAACGATAAATTTCAATCAAAGTGGAATGCAGCCTCTCAACCTGTCCGTTTACCTCACTACGTTGCGTCGGCGTTTGATATATTTCAATACCTAAGGACCGAATGTAGTTTATAACAAGGGGGGTCAAAAATCCACGCTCGTTGTCCATAACTAAAGCACGCGGAACAGTAAAATAATGGAGAGCAATAGTTAACATCATTTTTAGATGTGGAGATGACCTATTTTTAATTGGAAATAATTTTGCAAATTTAGTAAATTTGTCTATACAACTTAGAAATTTCTGTTTTTCTATATCAAAAATATCAATGTGAAGGATTTCGCAGGGATAATTCGGGATTGGAGTGGGTTGCATATGTGGTTTTGAGGGATGTCTGTCATACTTGTTAACTTTACACGTTTCACATTGTTTAATGTATTCTCGAATTTGCCTTGACATAGCGGGAAAATAAAATTTCTCAAGAATTTGCTCCCTGTTCTCACGTGCGTTGCGATGAGCACGTTTATGTTCCTGTTCTATAATGTTGAAAATTCTATCAGTTAACGTAACATCCTCAACCATTCGTTGTGTTATACGGATCCTGTATCTATAAAAATGATTAGTATATACATCCTGTAATGAGGGAATCGAAGATTCCGGGATTTTAATACCGTTTATTACATTAGGATTTAAAATTCTTTTTAGCACATCAATTAGGGATGCACTATTTATTGTAGGTAATGTTATAAAAAATCTCTTGTAGCCTTCATGTGGCACTTCACTACACTCAAAACTCACCCCCTGTCGTAGAATTACTTGATTTCTAAATACGTTTATTGGTGACTCCACATGCGGTATTAGGTCTGAACTATCTTGTTCGGCCGAATGCATGGTACCCTCCGACGCAGTGTCTGTTTCGGATGCCGTGTCGGTTGTGGAGGATGCTGGTTGGGCAACGATGGAGTCGGTGAGTGCATTCACCTCCGTTCTAAGACGGGAGAGTGCATCAGCGACCACATTCGTTTTTCCCGGTTTGTAAATTAATTCGCAGTTATACTCTTCAATACGAGCCTTCCATCGCTTGAGCTTTGCGTTGTAGTTGCGATTACTTAATGAATATGTTAAGGGTTGGTGGTCGGTGTAAATTTTTATTTTCTTTGTACCATAAAGGTATGATCGCAAATTATCAAGTGCCCAAACGATGGCCAGGAGCTCTTTCTCATTGGTGGCATAATTTTCCTCTGATTTATTAAGTGATCTCGAGATGTAAGCAATGGGCCTGTCATCACCAATAGGCCCTTGTGACAGCACTGCTCCTATGGCGTAGTCTGATGCGTCAGTAGTTAAATTGAATGGTTTTTCGTAATCCGGGAAGGCCAAAACATCGGCAGAAACTAAGAGCTGTTTTAATTCTCTAAATGCTTTAAGAGACTCTTCATCCAATTCTATTTTGACTCTCTTTGAAGCATTAGCACGTATTCTCGCATTTTCACCTCTAGTTAAGTTAGTTAATGGTTTTGCTATCTTGGCGTAATCTCTTATAAATTTTCTATAGTAAGAGGTCATACCAAGGAAACTTTTTAATTCTTTTAAATTTTGTGGAGGCAAAATAATTTTTATTGCTTCCACTTTTTTCAGATTGGCTCTTACCCCATCTGGGGTTATTATATAGCCAAGAAATTCTACTTCCCTTTCGAGGAAGCATGTTTTCTCCAAATTTACCTTCAAGTTGGCATCCATGAGGCGGATGAACACCTTCTCCACATTATCTAAATGTTCATCTAAACTTTTCCCGAAAACAATTATGTCGTCTATATAGACATAACATATTTTTCCTATAAATTGTTTCAATACGTCATCAATCATTCGTTGAAATATAGCGGGCGCGTTCTTCAGGCCGAATGGTAAACGCAGAAATTCATATTTTCCATTCATAGTGGAAAAAGCAGTTTTTGGTATGTCGGACTCTTTCATCGGTATTTGATGAAACCCCGATGTAAGGTCTATGGTTGTGAAGTAATTGGCCTGACCGAGACTACAAAGCGTTGCATTGATATCAGGGATGGGGTACGTATCAGCGATTGTAATAGTATTCAACCTTTTGTAATCAATTACCATTCGATACTGCTTTTCTCCGTTTGGTTTTGGTTTTTTTGGAACGATCCAAATTGGGGAGTTGTATGGGCTCTTTGATGGACGTATTATTCCAGCGTCAAGCAGTTCATTTACTTGTCTTTCGACTTCCTCTCTCATACAAGCAGGGTAAGGGTAACTTTTACTATAAATAGGTTCGGAGGTCGATGTCTTTATTTCCGCGCGTATGCTGGTATCGATCAATTCATTACCATTAAGTGGTTCAAAAAGTTTTGAGTATTTACTTAATAAAGAGTTAATTCTATCATGGATTCGATGAGGTAAATTCTCCCCTATAGTAAAGAATACATCTGACGAGAAACGTGCTTTTAGGGGAATTTCGTATTTGCCTACTATAAGAAGATCGTTTTTTCTGTCTATTATCGCCCCAACTTTTCTTAAGGTATCATCACCGATTATACCCGAAAAATTACCCAAATTAGGTAATACGAAAAATTCAATATTTGTCAAGTCCCCTATGCTATTAAATATTTTTAATTCTGATTTGTTCCGAATTGTCACGTTACCCCCGACTGAGGCAACATTAAATACCCTCTTAACAGGAATACACCCTTTGACTACCCCTTCTTTAATGTAATTTTTGTTTGCACCAGTATCAATTAAGAATTCCAATACCCGACCATCCGCTAAGATATATTCTATATATGGTACGCTTGATGGCCGGATTCCAGAAAATCCTCAGAGTTTTGTTCATTTGGTGATTCCAGGTTACCTTCTTCAACTACATCTTGTTCCTCTTTCTTTTCAGAAAGAGTATGATATAGTCGTTGTTGCTTTCTAGAATAGTTTTCTGATCCATTACTTCGTTTGAATGGATTCGGTCTATTCATATAATTCACGTTTTTTGTTTGTATAGAAGGATCCACTTCCATTTTCTCCACCGGAAGATATGACATAGAATTTTGGTTTCCTTTCTGTAAATAACGATGATCCGTTGAATTTTGTTGACGATGATCTTGGGAACGCCAGTGTGGTTTCGGTGGCAATTGTGGAGGCTTATTCTTAATCTGGTATGACGTAGTATTTGGCAGACTATTAATAGGTATTGAGACTCGATTGTTAGAGGAGTGGTTGTGAATCGAAGAATTCCGAAAATCAACATTTTGCATCTCCAGGCACGCTGAATAAGCTTCGGGTAAAGTTTTTGGACGCTGTATAAGCAACATCCGGGACATGTCTCCACTGAGACCCCGAATAAAAACATCCAATGCTCTGTTGCGATAAGTCTCTATAAGGACTCTCACTGTCTCTTCCGAGTAAGACTCGGTTTTTATTTTATTTAAGATTAATGAAAATTGATGATTAACTTTAGCGTAAAACTCATCAACCTTCATACCTCTTTGGTTGAGACGGTGCAACTGGTGCTCCAGAGTACGTATGTCTCTCTTATCTGCATAGTGTAGTGACAGACATTCTTTAATTTTTGACCAGTTGCTGTCAAAAATATTATACGAAATAAGTGCAGAATCGGCTGCACCCCTGACCTTTTGTCTTATATGTTGGAGGATTGCTCGGTACAAGGGTTTATCCCTTACTACCGAAAAATCTGACAATATACTTTCAACAGAGTGGACCCATGACACATATTGTACTGGGTTTCCATCGAATATCTGTAATTCTTTCACACAATCAGGCAGACGACTAATTTCCTTAATATCATCAAGGGTTGTGGGAGCCTGTGTCACTTCCTCGTCAACTGCATTTAAGCGGTTGCTTGTCGAGGCCGCAGCTTCATTTAAGGCATCTAAATGTGACACTTTCCTCTCTAATATATTAATCTTTTCAAGTAGAGCATTCACTGCTCCAGTAATTTGAGTGACATTAGACCTCAGTTCTTCCATAGTTAATGTAAGGGAAAATAAAATGAATGACTTACGTGACAATTGGGCAAAAGTGCATGTGGCCCGTTTTCAGTATTATGTTAAGTTATTATTAGTTTATTTTGTTTCTGGATTTATAAAATTTTTTATATATTGGAATTTTTTGGACTTTCTCCTTTTTTTTTACATTCACCAGTTTTTTTATAATGATAACACTTTTAAAGGTTTACTTCTTTGAAATATTTTCCTTTACACATAGAAATCTGTTTAATTCAAAATATTTTTTCTTTTCCTTTTATATTTTATTAAATTGATCCACAATATTTTTCCCTATTTTTTTTTTTTTTTTTTTTTTACAATATTCTCATTTACACATAGGGATCTGTTTTTGATCACTTCCACTTGTTTATTTCAAACTATTTTTTTTATTTGTTATTAAATTGATCCACACTTTTTATTATAAGGACTTTCGTTTTTGTTTTTTTTTTATTTGCAAGGACCTTTTTTTTACAATATTCTCATTTACACATAGGGATCTGTTTTTGATCACTTCCACTTATTTATTTCAAACTATTTTTTTATTTGTTATTAAATTGATCCACACTTTTTATTATAAGGACTTTCGTTTTTGTTTTTTTTTTATTTGCAAGGACCTTCGTAAGGGTCAGTATGCTCGGGCGCCAGTTAAGGTTTACTCCCGAACTCCAACTGGTTTCTCGCCTTCATAGTTCTTAACTCCAAACCTCACGTTGTTGGCAGCGACGTCCAAATTATGCTTATTTTAATATTTCCCACAGGTGCATTATGCTGACGGTAGGCCTAGTGCACGAGTTCGACGACTGTGGGAACATATCATATTTCCGTTTCGCAAGTGAATCGAAAGTGCTGACTTAGCGGCACGTGTACGTATGAGACGTCGCAGCACAGTGGTTTGGAGGTATTGAGGTGTGTTAACTTATATAATTATAGCGCATATATATATATATATATATATCGGCCCGTTCGATTTTACTACTTTCCTTATTGGTTTCAATCGAATTTACTCTAATTTGATATTTTAGATTCCCATTATGTCCATTTCTACTTCTTCTATAAAATTATCAATATCGGTGTTGTTATAGCCTCAATATAAAAGTATTCTTCATTTTTGCTTTTTTCCTAAAGATTTATTTTGTATTTTAATGATCTTAGAGCCATTTATTTCACATTCCGGGACCTTGGTGGGCAAACAACTTGTACAGAACATTTACATCTAATAAATATCGAGTTTTATTATTAATTTTTATAAAATCTTTTTATTAGACTTAACGGTTAATAACTTCCCAAATATTTATATCCTACACAACTATGTTGTCAGGGTATTATAGCTTTGTGCAGCCCCTAGAGTTTGTAACACCGCGAAATATTGGTCCTAGACCCACCTTTAAGTATACCGATCGTCATATCTCGACTAGCTGAGTCGATCTAGACATGTGTGTCCGTCCGTCTGTCCATTATAATTTGTAAAAGCGATACAGGCAACAGTTATGGACCAATCTTCACGAAATTTTGCATGTAGGATGGGTTCTGCCCAATGAAGACCCCTATTATTTGGTAAAGATCGGTTAATATTTAGGGGATGAAATGGACCAAATACTGGACCAGAGGCCGCAATTATGGCCCAAACATCGCGAATTTTTCATGAAGGGGATCGGGCCAAAGAATAAGCATGCCTGTTTTGATAGAGATCGGCCAATATTTAGCGGGTCAAATGGACCCTGACTTTTGTGTGAAAAATGACAAAATTTGTATTCTTTAGAAGTTGATAGTATATCCAAGAGGAGTGGTTCACCTTTAAATTGATACCAATTATATGGTCGTATGTACTCGGATGTGGGAGTTACACGTAAATATTTTCAGGAGCTTACGTATTCATATATTATTTAGTAACATATTACCACAATAGAGGGGGGAAATATAACGCGGATCGCATTGAAATTTTCTATGAGGATCCAGGTATAGTCAAGGATAACGACTATAATTTTCGGCGATGCTAAGATAATAATATTGGGATGAAGTGGACCCAAATCTAAATATTTTGTATTTTTTCGAGTCAATCTTAAGCCACAAGCCGAAAATCAACACACGGTGAAGTGAATCTAGACAAGTAGTTAGAAGGGCTGTACAGAATATTGGAATATTCGGAAAAATGTCAGTGTAAGGAAGATGTGCTGTAATCGGTCAAGAGGGTGCAAATATCAGAAATATTGATCAGGCTCGAAATAAACATACGCAAAAGTTAGAGTTCCGTGGTAGTTGTGTAGGGTATCATATGGTCGGCCCCGGCCGACTATACTGCTCCGCTCTCTGGTTTTACTTGATTTTCTTTTGGAAAACTTAAAAAAATATATATAAATCAGGAGCATTGCGACGCCTAGGAAAATGTTTACATCTAATAAATATCGAGTTGTATAATTCATTTTTAAAAAATCTTTTTATTTGAACTAATTCCAAAAAGTTACTTTCTTTATTTTTCTTCTCATTAGAGACTTAACGGGTAATAACTTCCAAAATATTAGTAGCAGATTTATGGAAAATTTACCGATGACTGAAATTTTGTAAGTACTTCGAAAAAAATTACATATTCAAATTTCGATTCCTTCTAAATTTGATATTAAAAACCTATTGAAAACATATATGTATTATATACGGTATCTTATTGTAGTGTATTGATAACACTGTGCATCAAAATACAGAAGGTCGGGGGGATGGAAAATTCCTATTGGGAAAGAAAGCCCTTGGCGAGTATATCAAGAACCCTGCAGTCATAGATTTTTGAGGTGTGATGAATTTATTGCTGGTAATTTTTGAACCGAATTAAGATAAGAATATACAAATATCTATATCTTGTCTGTCAGGCACCTATCCAAAATCTTATGGGCGAAATACTTGTTTTAAAAAATAAAAATATTCCTAAAACGATTTGACTGCTGACATGCCATCTCAAAAATAACCCACAAGAGCTGCAAACAAAGATATAAATTAATATCTTTATTAACTATTAACAACAAATTCAATAACTGGACCTATGTCTAATGTACTCTTCTTGGTTTTTGATATACTTGTCAAGGGCTTCCATCTCCAAAAGGAATTTCTCACACCGCCCCAATTTCTTGTTGCATAATGTATTGTGTCACTCGACGCTGTTCTTTTTGAATTTAAATATAAATATATTAAGACTAAATAAAGTAATTCATTATTTTCATTATAATTCATTATTTTTTTGTTCCATAGAGTATTAAAATTTTGTGGTATTACCACAATAAACGTTGAAGCATTCCAAAGACTATCCATCATTCCGGTAAGAACATTGTAAGTACGATACAAGTTTGAAATAAAACATTTATCCTGATTCTAGCATTTCTTTACGCAGATATTTGGATGAAAATCAAATTGAAAGTCTGTCAGGAAATCTCTTTACACCGGGAAATTATTTGAATACTCTGTAAGTGAGATCCTCTAGCAATTTTAAACTTTTAAAACATTTTACATTAATGAAAATGTTTTCAGTATTCTCTCCGGAAATCGTATACACCACTTAAATGATAATGACTTTGAAAATTTGGGTGAGTTAATAGAGTTGTAAGTAAATTGATGTACGAAATCAAAAGCATACTATTTAATTAATCATAATTTCAATTCACAGGGATCTACGCAACAATCAAATAACAACAATTACGTCGACAGTTTTTGAACCATTAAGAAATTTAAGAATACTGTAAGCTGAATATATTAATTTTTATAAATAGTTTGAAAAATATTAATTTTTTTTCCACCACAGCCATTTAAATAACAATTTTCTAACTCACTTAAGTCCAATGATGTTCCCGACAATGAAAAATCTACAGACCCTGTTCCTGGTGGATAATCGTATAACTCATATTGAGAAGAATTCTTTTGGATTTCCGAATCTTAGATATTTGTAAGTAGGATATCTTTTGAATGTAACCCATAAATTAACGTTTTCTGTTTTCTCTAGGTTCCTAACAGGAAATCAACTGACCGAAATCGAAGGACAGACATTATCCTTTAAAAACTCTACGCCTTATGAAGGTCTTGAAAAATATTCTTTAAAAACTCTACGCCTTATGAAGGTCTTGAAAATTATTCTTTAAAAACTCTACGCCTTATGAAGGTCTTGAAAAATATTCTTTAAAAAATCTACGCCTTGTAAAGGACTTGAAAAAATATTCTTTAAAAAATCCACGCCTTGTAAAGGTCTTGAAAAAATATTCTTTAAAAAATCCACGCCTTGTAAAGGTCTTGAAAAAATATTCTTTAAAAAATCCACGCCTTGTAAAGGTCTTGAAAAAATATTCTTTAAAAAATCCACGCCTTGTAAAGGTCTTGAAAAAATATTCTTTAAAAAATCCACGCCTTGTAAAGGTCTTGAAAAAATATTCTTTAAAAAATCCACGCCTTGTAAAGGTCTTGAAAAAATATTCTTTAAAAAATCCACGCCTTGTAAAGGTCTTGAAAAAATATTCTTTAAAAAATCCACGCCTTGTAAAGGTCTTGAAAAAATATTCTTTAAAAAATCCACGCCTTGTAAAGGTCTTGAAAAAATATTCTTTAAAAAATCCACGCCTTGTAAAGGTCTTGAAAAAATATTCTTTAAAAAATCCACGCCTTGTAAAGGTCTTGAAAAAATATTCTTTAAAAAATCCACGCCTTGTAAAGGTCTTGAAAAAATATTCTTTAAAAAATCCACGCCTTGTAAAGGTCTTGAAAAAATATTCTTTAAAAAATCCACGCCTTGTAAAGGTCTTGAAAAAATATTCTTTAAAAAATCCACGCCTTGTAAAGGTCTTGAAAAAATATTCTTTAAAAAATCCACGCCTTGTAAAGGTCTTGAAAAAATATTCTTTAAAAAATCCACGCCTTGTAAAGGTCTTGAAAAAATATTCTTTAAAAAATCCACGCCTTGTAAAGGTCTTGAAAAAATATTCTTTAAAAAATCCACGCCTTGTAAAGGTCTTGAAAAAATATTCTTTAAAAAATCCACGCCTTGTAAAGGTCTTGAAAAAATATTCTTTAAAAAATCCACGCCTTGTAAAGGTCTTGAAAAAATATTCTTTAAAAAATCCACGCCTTGTAAAGGTCTTGAAAAAATATTCTTTAAAAAATCCACGCCTTGTAAAGGTCTTGAAAAAATATTCTTTAAAAAATCCACGCCTTGTAAAGGTCTTGAAAAAATATTCTTTAAAAAATCCACGCCTTGTAAAGGTCTTGAAAAAATATTCTTTAAAAAATCCACGCCTTGTAAAGGTCGTGAAAGAATATTCTTTAAAAAATCCACGCCTTGTAAAGGTCGTGAAAGAATATTCTTTAAAAAATCCACGCCTTATGAAGGCCTTGAAAAAATATTCTTTAAAAAATCTACGCCTTATGAAGGCCTTGAAAAAATATTCTTTAAAAAATCCACGCCTTATGAAGGCCTTGAAAAAATATTCTTTAAAAAATCCACGCCTTATGAAGGCCTTGAAAAAATATTCTTTAAAAAATCCACGCCTTATGAAGGCCTTGAAAAATATTCTTTAAAAAATCCACGCCTTATGAAGGCCTTGAAAAAATATTCTTTAAAAAATCCACGCCTTATGAAGGCCTTGAAAAAGTATTCTTTAAAAAATCCACGCCTTATGAAGGCCTTGAAAAAATATTCTTTAAAAAATCCACGCCTTATGAAGGCCTTGAAAAAATATTCTTTAAAAAATCCACGCCTTATGAAGGCCTTGAAAAATATTCTTTAAAAAATCCACGCCTTATGAAGGCCTTGAAAAAATCCAAGCCCTATGTAGGCCTTGAAAAAATCCACGCCTTATGTAGGCCTTGTAAACTATTCTTTAAAAATCCACGCCTTATGAAGGCCTTGAAAAAATATTGTTTAAAAAATCCACGCCTTATTAAGGCTATAAAATTTTTTTTTTTTAAAATACCCGCCTTATGAAGGCTATGAAAAAAATTCTTTAAAAAATTCACGCCTTATGAAGGCCTTGAAAAAATATTCTTTAAACAGTCGCCTTATGAAGGCCTTGAAAAAATATTTTTGTAATGGTCTTGAAAAAATATTCTTTAAAAAATTCACGCCTTGTAAAGGTCTTGAAAAAATATTCTTTAAAAAATACACACCTTATGAAGGCCTTTAAAAAATATTCTTGTAAAAATGTTGAAAAAATATTTTTTAAAAAATCCACGCCTTGTAAAGGTCTTGAAAAAATATTCTTTAAAAAAATCCATATATTTCCTTTACAGACATTTAAATAACAATAGACTACGGAAATTCGATCTGCATGCATTTGATTGTTTGGACTTGAAAAAATATTCTTTAAAAAATTCACGAAAGGTCTTGAAAAAATATTCTTTAAAAAATCCACGCCTTGTAAAGGTCATCACTATTTCTCAATGACAACAATGGCCTTATGAAGGCTTTGAAAAAATATTTTTGTAATGGTCTTGAAAAAATATTCTTTAAAAAATTCACGCCTTGTAAAGGTCTTGAAAAAATATTCTTTAAAAAATACACACCTTATGAAGGCCTTTAAAAAATATTCTTGTAAAGATGTTGAAAAAATATTTTTTAAAAAATCCACGCCTTGTAAAGGTCTTGAAAAAATATTCTTTAAAAAAATCCATATATTTCCTTTACAGACATTTAAATAACAATAGACTACGGAAATTCGATCTGCATGCATTTGATTGTTTGGAAAATCTGACATCACTATTTCTCAATGACAACGATTTCCGGACAATGGATAATAGGACATTGAAGAAATTAACGAATTTGGAATACATGTAGGTTTTACGGAATTTTATTTAAAATCCATTGGATTGAAATCCATCTCCCCACTGCTTCAGTTACTTTTCATGGTTCCATTTGTGTCATGCGGCACGACATGTACGTGTGTGTGAGCCACATGGTGATGGTATTAGTAGTTTCTACAATTTATTGGATAATTCAATTCTAAGAGGAAGGTGAGTGGAATTTTGATCCGATTCAATTACGGATTTATTTTTTTAACTCGCTTCCAGTGTCTGGGCCATGGCAATTGTTGCCATATTGGGCAACATTTTGGTCCTGTTGGGTCGTTATTTTGTCAAAAAAACCCGTAATAATGCTGAGCACTCTCTCTATTTGCGTCACTTGGCCGGCAGCGATCTTCTAATGGGTATATATTTGGCAATTATCGCATGTGCCGATATTAGTTTTCGTGGCAACTATTTGGTGCATGAGGAAGCGTGGCGTCAAAGCCGATTGTGTGCTTTTTCAGGTGCAGTCAATAAATTATTCATTTGATATTAGACTAGTAATATATTTTATTTCTAGGATTCCTAAACACATTTAGCTGTCAGTCATCCACCCTCATGTTGACTCTGGTTACATGGGATCGTTTGATGTCCGTTATGAGACCACTGCAAGCAAAGGATAATCGGCGAAAAAGGTAAGTTAGCAGATGGAATGAAGCTTTATTATGCGTAAGGGAGAAGCACAAGCCTTAAGAAGATATTTATAGCCATAGAGGGAACCTTCTAGCTAGCGATCTCGGGTCTATGGTCCTCAACCCGTGCTCTTCTCTAGCCCATTAGGTCGAAACCGAATTAGACATGGATTTCTTCAATATCAATTTAGTTTACTTTGACTACAACTGGTGCCAATTAAAATGTCTTCAACACCTAAATGTAACACTTGTTCCAAATCTAAACATATTTATTTTTCCATTTCCATTTTTGGTCTGTTCCCGTACTGCAAGAATCTACTCGTACTAGTAAAACTATTTTCTTCGATATCATAAAGGAAAAAGTGTTATCGGTGTAAAAAAATAGTAGATTCTTGCAGTACGGGAACATACCAATTTGGAATCCCATGGCCGGACGCCATTCTCACATTTGTCTGTCAGAATTCGGGTTGAATTTCTAGTTCTTCTAAGTGTTCTCTACAGTATTTTCTCTTGATTTATTTTTCCCATTATATTAATTACTGCATAGGGTCTGGGATCCAATGTTTCACTGTATTCTGTTCTCCAATGAAAAATAATGAAGTATTGTATCCGTATCAGTAGCAAAACAAGGATCTTTGTGTCGAAACGGTGACTTGGTTTGCGAAAGTTCCAGCAAATTTGTTCGAGTTCAAAGCATTCATAATCGTAAGTTTCATTGTTTATTTCGTTGACCCTTACGTTTGTATTAGCTCCCCTCCAGGCTACACTAATTTCGATATTAGCATATTGATATTTTGAAAAAAGAAACTTTCGAGTTTTGTAGAGTTCAAATCCGTGTTCGCCCAGAGTGACTCTTCCGGGTAATTTGGAAACGTCATCGTTATATTTGTGATGTAAGACTTTTCACTTCAGAACAAGTTGTATCTTATTTTGGAAACTGCTATACGAGGGCAGTTCGGAAAGTTCTTAGCCCAGCACAACAAGCGCGGTAAAAACAGAAAAAATTTAAGTGTTTTGGAAACTTCCATCTCTGTTATGAACACATGCTAACATCGATCTGGCAACTCCCTCATATAGAAACAGGTGTTCAAAAGCGTGTTTACTTGCCAAAGAGGTCAGCTGAAAATGTGCATCTTCGGTTGGAACTCAAGCGCCGGCCATGAGATGGTGTGGGCTGCGATAACAGCCGAATATTATCCCAAAAATAGTCTGGAGGGTGTATTAAAGCCTTGGGCACGCAAACATTTTGTCCGCAGACCTTGGACATTCCAACAGGACTAAGCACGCGCCACCCAAGAATGGTTACAAAATGAGGTTCCTCGCTTAATTTCCAGCACACAATTGCCACCAAAATCTCCAGATATCAATCCGTTGGACTATTGTGTGTGTGGAGTATTTTAGAAAGCAAGGTTGTCACTGAAAAATACCAATGTGTCGATCACCTCAAGCAAGTACTTCGCAGGGAATGGGTCAAAATACCGTTGAGCAACATTTGGGCAGCGTGTGACGGTTTCATTGGCCGTATGAAGGTCATAATTCGTACCAAAGATTACCAATTCGAACAATTCTAAACTTATTCTAAAATTTGATACTATTTCCGACATTTTTGTTTTCATCCATTAAAAAAAAGTTAAAATATATGTCGGCAACACCAACTGACACTTTTTTACTTGTTTTTAGTCTTGTTTTAGTTACTTACGGAGTCAATTTCTGCTGCTACAAACAGTATCCTTAATAATAGCAGCCTATCTATAACTATACGGTTCCTCCCGGCAACAGTTGCTTGTGAATAAAGTTTTCGTCTCTTCCTGTTCATTCGGGAACATTTTCGCCTTGGTGCCCTAAATAGCTACTCCTGCTTTGTCATAAGCTCAATTATTATAGCATCTTATCTGCCTTTTCACTAATCCGAAATTCAAAGACTGTTATGCCGATTTTGTTTCCGCTTTCCGATTCAGATTCGGATTTTGAATCCTGCAATTTTTTTAAGTAAGGTCGCGATTGCACTTCCCTTTTTATTCTTAAAGTCAATTCTGAAATCATTTGTGAAACATTTTTAAATATTTTTGGAGTGTTATCTGTTTGACCACATTCACTAGAATGACGTCTTCTTTTTATTTCATCATCATTCTTTCTTCGTTACATTTGAATCTTATGATCAAATTGATAGTCGGTAGTCTATTACATGGTTGTATTTTGACAATGATGTCAATCTAAACAAATCTACTACAGGAGCTTTGAATTACAAAGACCACAAAAATCGATTATTGGAATCGAAAAGGAGGTCCATCCTTGGGCCTCATCCGTAATACCGTGCTAAGCAATTTTCAATGCGCCAGCCACGTGTAGAACTGCACGTTTTTCATATGTTGGCGCAAAATATATTTCAGAGTAGCATTTTAGAACATCTGACGTCTGCTGTGTTGCCAGACGATGCAATTACGAATGTGTGACCAAGTACATTCAGTGCTGCAGTGTTGCATTTTCAAAAACAGGTTCCTTGAATCTAATAAATTTTAATTCAAATTTCTTCAAAACAGAGTTATTCTACGTCTTCTGGCATTGTGGGGTGTCTCTTTTGTTTTGGCAGCGGCTCCGCTATTTCCTCTGGACTATTTTGGAACACATTTTTATGGGACAAATGGTGTTTGCCTGTCGCTACTTATTCACGATCCCTTTGCCAAGGTGAGTACACACCTCTATTCGATTTTAATTTCTAAATAATGTTCCGATTTCCAATATACATAGGGTTGGGAATATTCTGCGGTGCTATTCATTTGCGTCAATACTTTTTCGCTGTGTTTCATTCTAATATCCTATCTTAGAATGCTGCAGGCAATACGTGTTTCGGGCGGTGGAATGCGTAGCACATTGAGTGGTCGCGAAAGTGTGGTGGCAACAAGGTGGATAACTATTTAAAATCTTATTTTTATAATCTAAAAAATGCGTAATTTTCAACCTTTTCCAGATTTGCAATAATAATTACGACAGATTGTGCCTGCTGGGTACCGGTAATCGTGGTGAAAATATTGGCATTATCAGGTATGTTTTACTGAATAACTATACATTTATATTTTAGAAGTAAAATATATATTTTTTATTTTTAGGAATTTCTATATCTCCCGCCCTATATGCTTGGTTGGCGGTATTGGTTTTACCCGTTAACTCTGCCTTGAATCCGATTTTGTATACCCTGACAACAGCTGTATTTAAACAACAACTGTGTCGTTTTTGTCATGCTTTGCCGAATTGTGCTTTCTTTCTGGATCGAACCCATTCACAGTTAACATTTGAATCTGCCAGCACCAGTTTGGGTCAATACGCTAGCGCAAAATCGCACTCGGGGCGCAAACGTTGCTCAAATCGCCGCATTAGTTATGTGTGAAAGAGAGCGAAAATATTTGTATGGAATATTTTATTAAAGGCATATCTCATCAATATAATTATTTATTCTAAGTGATCTGACTTAAAAAAAAAAAAACATTCTGGTCATATTTATAAGAAAAAAAAAGACTTCTTAATTGACTATTTTATTATTTTTTATTTTGATTTATTTTTTAAATAAAATTTGATTCGTAAAAGAAATATAAAATGAGAATTATTAAAAACGAATGAATTTTTCTCGAGATTCCGATTATTTTCGAGTAATCTGTACATAAGTGGAATGGAAATTTAATAATATAAATAACTGAAAAAAATAGAAGAATATCACGTCAGACGGTGAATAGAAAAGAAGCCGAAGAATTTATCAGTAACATATTGAGGGATCCACGTAGGGATGGAGAAATAGTATGGGAATGTCTCGGGTACTTACTTACATAGCTGTTTTGTAACAGAACGGTTGTTCCATAAGTCGAGCTTAAAAAAATGTCCATGCTCGTCCGTCCTGTGCGCATCTCATCCAATTTGAGAGACCTTGTTCCGAGATGTTGTTTTCAACTTGATCTTTCCTTCCCTTCCCTTCTGCGTGAACCATCACATGGCTCGCTTTTATATGCCTTTTGAGCAGTGACATTCTCTACCATACTCACAACATGACATAGCCAACGTAGTCGCTGCAGCTCGATATGTCTGACTATGTCGATGTCCGAGAATATATGGTATAGCTCTTTCAAAGGCGATAATCACCGACATCGCAGATCGACCCATAGATCTTTCGGGGAATTTTTCTCTCAAACACTTAAAGAGCTACCTCATCTGCTTGCCCAAGTACCCATGCTTCAGATCCATACAACAGCACGGGTAATATCAGCGTCTTGTAGGGTGAGAGTTTGGTCTGGCGAGATTTGGCCTTAATTTTGAGTTTCTTACTCAGACCATAGTAGAAACTGTTGGCCAACACTATTCTCCTCCGGATTTCAAACCTGATGTTATTAGTTTTGTTTATGTCGACACCGAGGTATATAAAATCGTTCACTACCTCGAAGCGGTAATTTTCATGTTCCACAGTTGGTCGGAGTCAACTGGACGTCTTCTACGTTGATACAATCAGCATGTCATTTTCGCCATTTACTGCCAGTCTCACTTTGGTAGACTCCTTCTCAATTCGTTCAAAGGTAGCTGTTACCGCTCGCAATGTTCGACCTATCAAGATGTTAAAGAGGTCACACGACAGACTGTCACCTTGTCTGAATCCTCGTTCGGTATTGAAGGGGCTCCGAGAGATCCTTTCCGACTTTAACAGATGACCTTATGCCAGTTAAATTTATCCTGCATAGCCGTATTAATTTTGCAGGAATGCCGAACGCAGACATGACTTTAAACACATCTGAGCGGATTGGAGTCGACGAATAGGTGCAATTTGTCGATATATTTTTCGGGGTCTTTTCCAGAATTTAGCGCAATGTGAAAATCTGGATTATGATTTTGAATTTGACAGGTCTGAAGCCACATTGGTATGGTCCAATAATGGCATTGGCCATTGGCTTCAGTCGCTAACACAGTACCCTGGATAGAACTTTATATGCGATGGACACAGAATCCTGAGGTTCCAATCATTGGGCATGTATTCCTCTAGCCAAATTTGATAATAAGTTGGTGCATGCTCCTGATCAGCATCTTATCACCGGCCTTGAATAGTTTGGCACTTGCTGCTTTATTATTCTTCAGCCGATTAATTGCTATTCTGACCTTATCATAGCTAGGTAGTATGCAATCAATACAGTATACGCTGCAGTTCGGTATTTCGATAATTCTAGATTGATTTTTCCACCAAAAATTCTGCAATTTGACCTTACTAAGGCGAATGGGATGTTCGATTTTAATCAAACCTTACACTTATCTAGCCTATATGAAGTCCAAAGATGAGACCAATTGATGCACTCCTTCCGGTATCTCTCAAAATTTTCAATATTTATAAATCCTATATTAGGTGAACGAAATGTCAAATTTGAAACAAAATTTAACCAACCGATTATCTCTACCAGGTTTTGATCAAGTCCCATTAGTTCACTCCTTCTGGTACCTGCCCCACATAATGGTCAAAATTATGAAAAAAATTATTTTATAAATCATGCGAACGGACTATCCTATTTGAACCAAATTTTGTCTATTACCTTTACCAAGCGTAGATGAAGTCTGAACATCGGACTCATTGGTACCTCCCTCAAAATTGTCATTATTTATAAATACCATATTAGGCGATCTATTACCTTTACTACAAAGCCTAGATCAAGTTTTTCCCCATAAATGGTCAGTATTTTATAAACATGTAAAATTTATTAAATTTAAGCAAATTGAATAAACGATTTGAATTTAATGAACGATTTATAAGCGAATAATAAAACCTGTGTGTAATTCCGAAGACTTCTGCAAACCAAAGGTTGAGGGTATACATCTGTCGGCAATACCGACCAACTGCTTACTTTTGAAATTGCCCCAACATCGACTCCGGATTGGAAAATAATCGTCACAGACTTTCAATAATTAAAACAGTCAAATCATGAACATATTTGCAAAAAAGAACTATTTTTCTACCTAGTAGTCTTGTGCAATCTTGTTCAGTACAGGGCATTTTTTATAATTGAACTAGGTCGTTCACCTCTTTCAGTTGCCTTATATCGTTCAAATGGTCACTCAGTTAATTTGGTATTGCATTGAAGTTGTCAATTCCATCAACCGCAAAAAATTATGACTTTTCCCAATCATTCGAAGAACTTGACTATCTAATTAAAAAAATTGAACTTGGTCGTTCATCTCGTTCAGTTGCCTTATATCGTTCAAATGGTCACTCAGTTCAATTGGCATTGCATTTAAGCTGCCAGTTCCATCAACCGCAATGAATGATGACCTTTCCCAATCATCCGAAGAACTTGACTATCTATTTTCTGCACTCCGTTATATTCGTCTGCACATTTGTTTGCACTACAGTTGTTGCTCCGGACACCTGTGCCACTTCTTCGTGGGTTTCCAGCTCCCTTCTACCGGCTGTCTTTGGGAGTCAATTGAAGCAAATGGGTGCTATCCTTTTAACTGCCGCTTCAACGTCGTTTGGCAAACAAAATCGTTCAATGAACGACAATAATAAACATTGAACTATGTCGTTCACTCGTTCAGTAGACTGACTATTTCAATTGAACAAGGTCGTTCAGGAACGACACAAGACGATCTATTACCTTTCCAAGTGCTTCTTCCACGAACTACTTTTGTTGGATTTATATTGTAAAGCTAAAAGCGGATTTACATATAACATCTAAGCATGATTAAAGGCTGAATCAAGGATTATATTCTTAATCAGACTGAATTTACCATTATCTATATACATATATACATATCGTTAGCTAAAATGCATAAATGTGTAGGAGAAGCAAAAAACTGTTTAGAATGAAAACTATAAACATGTCAAAAAAAGTATGCCCGGCAGGGTGATATTGCATATGACGAATAATAGACTATAATTTTTTTATTTAGTTTAACAATTAAGTAAAAATTTGAATTTTTTGTTAGTTACGCCTTTTTGTTTTTTGTTAATAGAAGCTCCTTTTTTGACCGCAGACGTGTAAAACTTTGTCAACACATGTAGTTTATTGACATTCACAATATTCATTCAAAAAGTCAATTTTCAATTTTTTGTTAGTTACGCCTTTTTGCATTTTAGCTGACGATATATAAAAATGAATTGCTGATCATTAGTCTCGCTAAAACTCTGGAACGGCTGAACGGATTTATCTGATCTTAGTCTTGAAATGTTCGTAGAGGTCTAGGGAAGGTTTATAAGGTAAAAATCGAAAATCGCGAAAATTTTGAAAAAAATATTTTGCAGCCTATTTGGATTTCCACGAATTTAGTATCGAGCTATTTTGATAGCACCACGCCGTAGTTGTTATTTTGAGACATTTTGGGCGAAAATTGAAAGCGTTTCATTCCTTTATGTCTACATTTGTCAATTATTGAAAATTTTCAATATATTTAATTTTTTTAATTGGATTGCCATGTATTGAAACATTTTTGGGAGAATACAAAAAGCAATTGAGAAGTATATCATTGAAAGTACACGCGATTATTGTATGTATACGTTTTCCGCAGAATGCACGTACATTTTGGGATTAATGCAAGGATGTAAAATCAGAAGAGATTCTGAATCGAGTTCGTGTCCATTCAGTGTATTCGGATTCTAAGTTCCATGCCCTAGATTAATTTGTTTGAAAATAATAATAGGAACAAGTTTTTCCTTAAAGTACCTGAAATTTTGATATGCCACGGGAAATATCAAACCAGGTGGTTATATGCCCAATTGTTTTTCAATATCTTTGAACATATAAAGAAAACACCTCGCATATATCCGACACCAAATATGTTTATCACAGAGAAAACTAATATACGAGATATTTTCTTTGCAAAAATCTATCATTAACCTCAGCCTCAGAAGGAGAACAACTAACAAAAAACCAACAATTTTAGAAAAAATAGCCATAGTTATATCTAATTTAACTCTTTCAGTGTCAACAATATTTTGTGTCAGAATAAAAATCTAAAATTTTGTCCTTAAAATCATAAAAAGGCATAGAGTTTAGAAAAAAAAAACAATTTTCATTTTAACCTTCGGACAGTTTTGTCTGATTTTTAAGCAAAAACAAAAACATCAATGTTAACGGTACATAGGATAACCGAAAAATCGTAAAGAAAGAGAGAATTTTTAAATGTCGAATATATTCGACAAAAACACTGAAAGGGTTAAAGGTTATACAAAAACCTCCGTCCGATGTTACCTATTCGTATTGAACATGCCAACTACCGTTAACACTCATGTTGGAAAACGGGGGTTAGAACATCAACATACCGACATTTTAACGGGAAATGATTATGGCATCTTTTTAAAACGATAAGACATAATGCATAATTTCTGGGATTATGTCTTTTATACACAGGAATCCGTTATGCCTAATT